TCAGCGTTATTGCTGATGTCATTTCATGATGACAACCTGTTATAAACGTAAAGATGCCGTCGCCAATTGTTATAAACGTAGAAGATACTAGTTATAACTGGAGGGGTTTCTTGTTATAACAGTCCTTTTACTTTTTACACGTATGTGGGACGTTAATTTGCCTTAGACGAATATCTACAATAGATTTCCACCCAGTGTCTATTCTACAGGACTTCAACAGAACTCAGATCAAGAACACGAGATTAGCCTAACAATAATGTCAATATATTTCACACCAAAATCCGACACACGGAACAGTCAATCAATAAGTGTCCATCAACAAGAAACAGTCAATACATAATAAGGATAGGGGAATATATATATATAACACATAACACCTGTCATCCTATCTAATGTCTGACTCATCAAGACAACCAATCACTGTCATTCTCGCCCACACATCACAACCTTAACTCTAATTCCTAACTCTAACCTCCAATTCTCAATCCTAATCCTAGTTCCTCATGCTAATGTATAACTATCTTTAGACTCTATTAAGTAGGTGGATTTTCCCAAGGTCATGTTAGCGTCGATCGAAAGTCGTCTATAAATTACTGTCTCACCTTAATGCTTTCTCTCCAACTATCGTCAGTTTTCACTGTCAGAGACGTTGCCAAGACATTATTACACTCGACCAAATTTATTAGTTATCGTTTACTGTAGTGTTTTCTGTCATCTGAATTTTAGTGTTAATCGAAATTTGTTGACGGATTACAGCTCGAGAAACTCTTTGATAATAAATCTGACTACTAAATGATTACCTCTATTGTTATGTAGCTTACAGATTAACTTGGAAACTTGACCAATAGAATCCAGGTAGCGATAAAGATCAGAAAATAGTCAATGATAACATCATTATCTGTGATAATGAACAACGTGCGTGCAATAGCCGAGGAGCTCATCAGTTCCCTCAAAATTGCAAATGGAACTTGATTCGTAAAATCGGAGTCCAAAGTTTCCTGTTGATTCCCTCTAACTACTTAACATAATTTACACATGATGTAGAATATTTGTAATATTTAACTACTGATATCAAATCTACCGACACTCAGTCATTCGTACTTCAGATAAGCACTTCGTGTTATTTATTGATACAAAAATGGGTATTGTTATACAGTTAATTAGAACATTGGTTGCAATCTTTCTTCAAATTTATTTTTATTCACTGAGAAACTGTCATTCACCGATTCCTTAATTTTAACGTAGAAAACTACTAAAGTTAATACTGTCTGTATTGATTTCCTCAATTTACACGAAGATTCATTGACATTATAAACCAATGTAAGTTAGACAACTATTAAAATCCTGAAATCGTTCGACGTTCGTTTCGTCTTAATATAGGATTTCTCAACAGCGCACATTCGCAAGGTTAAGTGTTTACACGTAAGATCGAAGGCCTTGGGTCCGTTTCTCTGTTACGGGGGGATCGGATACGCACTTTTGAGGAGCCACATACTCGAAAAATACAGCGATTCCTGGTTTTCAGTGATTATCTAAATAACATTGATTTGTGATTTCAATGAAATCCAAATCCCATACTGATAATTTTACAAAATTGTCAAATTACGTTTTAAATAATTCCTCTTTGAAGTGGAATCCCTTTTCTATTTTATTTCAGTAATTTATTTTACCAACCACTGGTGACTAGTTTTACTTTGTGGATAACACGTGGATATAGTTCGGTATATTTATTCAAATAAATCATTTTCCTCAGTTACAGGTCAATCATTATGACTTTATAATACTTGAAATATATATTTTGAGTAGTATGTTTTCTAATTATTGATTTTTCGAAGTCATAGATCAGGCTTTGTCTTCTGGTATTTCACTAATTAATGAGTTATAAGGTTCTGGAGGAGTGAAGCATAACAATCATAACTGTTGTCGAACTGTGTCTTATCGATGTAAATAGATTTTAATTACCGTATCACAATTTGATATCACATGTACTGGATCATGATAATAGGAACCTGGAGGAAAGTGACAGGAAGTCTTGGTCCAAGATTTTACGATAGCAAGGTGTATCGAGAACTCTGAGTGAAATGCTGAACTTGGTTTGATTCCTACCCAGTGTCACATTCAGTGGTGTTATCACTAAGCTATTAAGGTCACGACCTACTACAGTAAGAATAAGATATTGAAATTAATTTCTTTCTTTCTCATAACTGTTCATTTGTAAGTGCTTATTTAGCATTTTGCAAAATTATGTCCGTTATTAAATCAAACAAGTCATAGATTAAATATAAATAGGTTCGATTTGTCTAATGGGATAGCCAATATTATATTATCTGGGGACCAATTCTTATTGAGTTCTATCAAAATATATTTATCTGATTGGTAAATAACAATAATGCATAATCAGAAATGATTATTCTGAATAATAATTGAAATAATGAAGGTCAAGAATAATCTTGTGTACTTATATTAGATCATTTGGAGATTGATATATAAAGTCATTATTTATTTAAACATATAAATATTGGTACAAAGGGACAACAGATATATGTGCGCCACACAAATCCCATTTGATTTGTGTGAGGGCTGTGATACTGCCCAGTCGCCCAAACTGAAGCAGATGTTTTTCTTAGGGGGCCACATCCGGAGCCTTCGGCCTAAAGGTCTGATCCATAAGGCACTGGAGCATCGTAAGGAGATGCAGTCCCATGGTAGCCGGTCACCAACGATTGATTCATACACCATTTGTTCCTTCAGGATACTGGAGCCCATGTGCACCATTGATTTGGAATGAGGGTTTTCCAACTCCCCTAGGTGGACCTTCCTTGTCCACCAGCCCGATTAAAGCGCCGGATATTCGCTTTTCGTGCTCTCAATTTTGTAAACAACACCCTCGCCACGAGAACACAGTGAGTAGGACTTCCCTGGAAGAGGGTATATACGCGTGGCCATGTGAGAGCATTTGGAGAGGGAGAGCGGACTCTCCCCACTCTCGGCCGTACCAGGGCATTCGGAGACAGGATTTTCTAAAATCGGTTGGACAGCGTTAATAGCAAAAGCAACATATGTAATATTCAAAAGGTAAGTAACAGAGTCATCGGTACTGGATTATGTTACCGGTAAGTTATTTCCTTGGGACTATGAACACCTCCAGTTGTTCTTTCTCATAGCTAGGGGGTGTAGGGAAAGTTGCAGATAATACATAAAAAACTATTCACATAACGGCTACGGATAAACGGTTTCAAGAAGCTGCCCCTTGAACTTTGTGGTCCAACTCCCAGGTTAGCAAGGTCATTACTTACTCATTTTGCTTTATAGGTCACGCTAAATCAAATAGCTTTGTGGAGAGCTGAGAGGCGAAAAGCATCCGAATATATGTAACAACTTTCGAACTCATTATGTGCACAATTTGCAGATGAGTTTTAACAAATATAGAATTTAAGTTTGAGAGTTTATGTTATTAGATTCGAGACTAGTTTTTCCTTAAGAATTGAGAAAAGGCGAAAATATTTATACAATGGAAAAGAATTTTGAAAAGTATACAAAATAAGTTGAAATCATGAGTCAATTGAAGCTAGACCACCATGGAGAACCTGGAAGTACTGGACGGCCGTATCAGTCGGTTAAGGGCTCTGGCTCAAGACTTGTAGATCCTGGGTTCGAATCTAGCAAGTGCGGGATCGTGGATGCGCACTTCTGAGGAGTCCCATAATAGGACGAAACGGCCGTCCAGTACATCCAGGTTCTACATGGTGATCTAGCTTCAATTGATCCATGATTTCAACTTTGAAAAATACTGAAATCTCCACAAAACCCCTTTTGATTATACAAAATAACTTAAGAATGCTCGATTTTATAATGTTGTTGCTTTTGATAGAGGTAGCGGTTAACATTCGAAGAGAAGATTTTTATTATAACCAAAACGTTCTTTTACAGAATAATTTGAAAAATCAAATGAAAATTTTCATTGTTTTCACAAATAGTTGACTAATTCACCTTGTAATATGACTGACTATTCTTCTATAAAAGATAAAATGTAAGAAATGATTGCAATAGGTAAACTAACTTATTAAAATTATAAATACCAATGATAGAAAATAATGTTTCAATTGTCAGAAATGATAAAATTTATTGATTCTTCTCAATTTGGGAAGCTACATTGTTTTGAGGTAAAAGTTATTGACTAGTACCCGAAGTTTGTGCTGATGATGTCGTTCAGAAGGACGATGAAAGCTCCACGACCAAACCATCCAGCTCAGAGAACAAACCAACATAAAAATGCCATAAATAAAAACAAACAAACTACATTTCAGTGAGTTCCCAGGTCTCTTATCCATTTTAGTAGATTAGTTGTCTGAGTTGAATGCCTGATCAAATTCCAGTGACTAGTTGAATAATAAGAAATGGATAGGCAGACAGGATAACAATTGGAAAGTTGGGACAGACATCAGTTTCATTTTAGAACATGAAGGTATACATATCTAGCTAAAGGGATTAGGGAAAAGTTAATCATGTGACCTATAAAAATCTGAAGAAAAAAAATAATATTCTACCAATCAGTTTATTTAATGTGTGGGTGTAACCCTTTTTCGACTACTCGTAATTCATTGATTAGCTCAGACCCTGATTACAGGTAAATTTGAAAAATAATATAATAGTTAATAGTAGAACAGACAAACAAATGTAGGGAGATATGGAGGTAGAAAACTCTACTCAGTTCACATCTTGGTTAGTTATTATTATTAGTGCAATTTTAACCAGATGGCAAGGTTCTTAAATATTTGAGAATAATCGATTTATCATAGATTGTTAGTAGAATAACTAGAAATATGGACTAATTTACTGTTTAAAGAAGATATTTACTTCATGTACGGAGGTAGTTTCCGTCGACTGATGGATCATATTCAATGTTAATCTTCTAAACAGTAATAATGACAAGGATGGTTATAACGATGATGGTGATGATGATGATGATGAATGGTAGATAAATCTGTTGACAAATCAGTATGGGAACCGTACTTTCAACATTTTCCAATGAAGATTCATCACAATATCCAGTACATACACCTAGAAGACCATTAAGTGATACCCATAAAACAAAGGAATTTAGGTGTTATATTCCATCTACACCACATAATAGACCTTATGATGAATACATTGATCAACATCAATCAATAAATAAAAATTTGAATTTTGACCAAAATGATGAAGCTTTAACAATACAAAGGGAATATGAATATATTACTGGAAATCGTTGTACAGAATCGGATAAAACTCTCAACCCTGCAAATATGTTTAGCTTAAAACGATTCTTATTCTTTGGTTTATTACGTAAGACAAAAATGTCAGTTAGTAACGGGATAATTCCAAGTTTAAGAACCCCAGATGACCGAATCCACAGACTATCTGTTAAATGTGATGGAAAGAATGCTGTTTACGGTCGTGGTGATCAAAGGAAAGTTTTAGTTAATTCAACGATTGAAACCCCGGTATTTTACTGTCACCAACAACAGGAACATCTTGAAGAAGATTCAACAAAGTTAGTTAATAATATACGGAATATTCAATTAGACAATCTCCAATTCAATCCTATATCTTCCTCATCCTATTGTGATACATCAATTCCAAAAGAAGTTTCGCAATTTGAAACTTTAGGAATAACACGGAATTCTTGTCATTTTGAATCCAGAGATATTATGAATGACACTGTTAGCCAGGAGTACCGTTCATCTGGTCAAAACTCCCTAACAGACTGTAAGTCAGTTTATCGGAAAGATTTTATAATTCACCATGATACTACTACTAATAATGAGCAAATTAAACAATTATCTGAACCCAATTCACGATTGAGACATCGTTATTCACACTGTTTATCTACAGAGTTTAGTCGAAAATGCTGCGTTACACACCATCATAACAATGATACTATTGGTAATACGATGCCATATACACCTAGCCTTGCTGATTTAAGGTGGGTTGCTAAATCTAAAGGTTCAAATATAAAACAATCAAACGAACAGCTTTATGTAAGTAATTCACCTTATTCACCTATAGAAAATAACTCTACTGTGCAAAGTTGTCAGAACAATAGTGATTACTTTCATATACCTACATCTACAATATCAGGAAATTCGTCTAAACAGCTTTCAACATTCAACGATAACGCATCTCCAGTGGATACTTATCCAAGAGAATATCATCATCCTCATCCCACACATCATAACTATCACCAATATCAAAATAACCAATTGATAGTAGAACAGATTTCACGGAATGTCACTGATACTTCACCAAGTACACGTAGTTGTTCGTTCGATATGCATTTTCCCCTATACAATCATCATAATAATCAATCAAATAAACGTAACTCCTCTTTGTGTACTGTTAAAGATAATTGTGCCTCAATTCATATACCACCGGCTACTTCTACGCTCTCTGAAAATAGTTCTAATTTATCTTGTGTACATAACTGTTTATCAGCTCATACGTTTGGAATTCTTGATAATAATACACAATACAACTACCAAAAGGAAACAAACAAAATTGAAGAACAATTATCAAGTAAATTAGATAGACGTTTAACTGAATTTGATATAGGTCTAACAAATCCATCATCTCCTATTCATGTACAACGTAAAGTCAATGTAATGAGATTTGATAAATATCGAAAAATTACAAAATCAATATCATGTTATGCTTTAAAACTTTTCACTCATCATAATAACAATAATCTTTGTCAACAAAAATATCAAAAAGGTTCTGATGAATCAACCATAATGACCAAATCATTTTTTCGAACAAATAACATAAATTATGATCGAATAATATCTAAATTACATTCTGATAGAAAGATGAATGATCGTATAAAAAAGAACTCTTCCATTAGAGATGTTGGAGAATTAAAAAGATATAATCAACAGTTTGAACAATGTAATACAGTTACCATGACAACTACAGTGATGACAACAACAACAACAACAACGAAACCAACAAATATGATGAATAACAATCAAAAAAACACTCTTATCCCACAATATTATAGAACTGATGCTCAATCAACAGATTGCATTAAATGTTATAATGATAGAAAAAGTACTGGGAAAGTAAATGGAATTTATGGAATGTTTGAAAATCATAAATCAAATCATAAACTTGATAGATACTATAATATGAAACATCTTAATCATGATAATCGTTCTTATTATGAGACATCTATGTTTCAAACAAGTTGGAGACGTGGTGAACTGAAAAAAGATCAACATCAGTCAGGAAATGGAAAGTCTATGAATAATATTTCTAATACTAATACAATGTCTCATGTTTATAATTTATTTCGTCAACCAATATTTAAAGCAAGTACAAGTGAATTATTAAAATGTTTATCCATTTTTATTGTTGCACGTATACAAATGAATTTATTGGAAAATTCAAATCGTTTACGTAATTCTGATTTACATGGTATTCAACCAGCAATTATTGTTACATGGATTCGAGCTATTGATCGAGCACTTCTATTACAAGGTTGGTCTGAAGTAGCATTCATTAATCCAACTCATGTTGTATTTTTATATATGATGTTAAGAAATTTTATACAAAATGGTGATATACATACAGAACGTGAATTGCATACAATTATTATGGCATGTCTATACTTAGCTTATTCATATACTGGTAATGAAATCAGTTATCCATTAAGACCATTTCTTATTGCTGAAGCAAATCAATTTGTAGCTCATTCAGAAGGTGGAAATAAAAAATTATTATCAAATACAATGCACATGTTAACGTCATCATCAGCATCATCAGCAACATCATCAACAATAATCACAACAACAACAACAACAACAACAGGTATCGAGAGTTGTTTAAAATCAAAAGTAATTGATGAAGTAAGAAATCGTTTTTGGCAATATGTTATACGTATTGTAAATGAAAAATCATCTGAAATGCTTCGTATTAATGCTGAACCAATATTGTTTACACAAATGTTTAAAGAATTAACTTTATATGATAATATTGTTATTGCTATGAAATTATTCTCAAATCGTAATTACAATATCAACCATAATAATAATAATAATAACTAATAACAGTAATGACAGTAATGATCGACTTGGATACCAGAAATGTAAAACTCATACTGATGAAGGAACTGATGAAATTCATGAGTTTTTATATTTATTATATAATATAAGATTGAATTATTGGTAACCTAAGGGGAAAAAATTTCAGCGCCCTATTTAAAACAGATGCTCACACATACTTTTAAGCATATATATTAATTTTTCTAATTTGTATTCACTAAAAATCAATCAACACAATTGCAATTACTTATTTACATATAATTCCTTTAGATCTACAATATATAAATAAGTTGTACAATAAGAAAATAATTTTTCAAACAGTTGCCATGGCAACAATGCACAGATATAGACAAATCAGGTCTTTCATTTAATTATTAAAACTGTGAATAAATGAGAAATTCAAAGCATTTTTTTTCTTTGTTTTATGCCTCTTCATATACTTTTTTTTTGATTTTTCTATTTCTTTCTTTCTTTCTTTTTTTCTTTCTTCTCTATTATAATTTATCTTTACATTTGTTTTTTTTTTTAAATTTTTTTAAAAATGTTTTATTTAATTTTTTGTTTTTGTTTTTGTGTTTATTATAAATGGTAATAATCCACTAATGGAATGAATGACTCATTTATCGATTTTAATTAATGTTGAACTGTAAAAATAAAAAAATAATAATCTCAGTTCAGAGAATCTATTTCGCCTTTTTTTTGTGTTGTTTTCATTCCATTTCGATCAATATATATAGATTTATTGATTTATTGATTTTTTTCATCGTGATATATTTCATGCTTATGATTATTACCATTACCATTATCTTACTACCTCGATGATATAAAAGATGATGCCTATAGAATGTTGATATAAATATAGAAAGAATAAACTAGAGCCTATACTTTATAATTTTTCATTAACATACCATCACTCTTTATAAAATGAAATTGTCTTGTATTTGTATTACGGACTCCTTCAAATTATCCCTTGTAATTGTTCACTAATGGTTGTATAATTCTAAAATAAAACACGATATTTTAAATAGAAAAATATCATTAGAAAGAATGTATTTATCGTCTTATTCTTACTTACTTATTTATTTACGCCTGTTTTAGTAGATCCTGTAAAGCTTGGAACCTGTTGTTGAGAGTTATCTTGAATCAGTCGAGTTTGTAAGTATTTGGGAGGAAGGCTGTTTTGGACCATTGTAATTCTGTTTGTCCAGTTTTCTAGTGTTTCTTTAGCTTCAGTTTCATCTTGGCCTAAACCACCAGTTAGTGGTGATCTGAAACTATGTCAGCTCCTCTCCTGGTTCTCACATCTTCCATTGTCCTTCGGAATTTCTTGTTGATACAAATATCATCTATCTGGTTCTCTGTGGTGTGGTCCGGCTAGATTCATGTAGCTTTGTGTAGACGTTTGTGTGGAAATATTGTGTCGCCTATAACCAATTTGTTGAATGCACATGTATTTGCAAATCTCTCCCCATTTTCGTTTCTCTCTCCTAGTCCATGTCGTCCAATTATATCTTCATATTCTATGTTGTCCACTCCGACTTTAGTGCTTAGATCTCCCATCAGGATGTTGAGGTCCTCTCTTGATCACTTAGCTATGATTGATTGCAGCCTCGAGTAGAACTGATCTTTATTGTCATCGTTGCTATCATTAGTGGATGCATAACCCTGGGTAACATTCATTGTGATCCCCTTCTTCTTTGCTTTGAATGATGCTTTGATAATTCTGGATCCGTGAGATTCCCATCCTACAATTGCGTTTCGTGCTTCTCTGAACAGCATTAGAGCAACTCCTTGAGTGTGTGGAACATTTTCTTCCTCGTGACCAGAGTACAGCAGCACCTCTCCAGTATATAGCCTTTGCTGTCCAACTTGCGTCCAATAAGTTTCACTGGTTCCAAGTACTGTCAATTTGTATCTCCTTATCTCCATTGCTATTTGACTGGTCTTCCTGGTATCACATATTGTGTGGACGTCCCATGTACCTATAGAAATTGTTGCTCTGGTTGTTAGTAGGAGCATCTGCCTAGTGACTTCCGAAGAATCTCGGCTTTCATCATGAGGCGTCATAATTATTGCTTCAAGTGTTACGGAAGAGTTTAAATGGTTTGAATGATTTTTTCTGGTTAGCGTTTTTTAACAGGTTAGTATTCAACGGGATGGGGTCGCTAACTCCATGCCCAACCCTCCTCTTTTACCCAGGCTTGGAACCGGCAGTAACTCTAGAAGAGCTACAGGCGGAGTTATCACCTTATTCTGCTCTAATTTATTTCAATAGAAATATTTGTAGTAATTTTTAATTATTGGAAGTACATAAACCTTGTGAAAGCTCTTTACTCGAACACTACCAGTCGAGTGAGAGCTTATGGCCAACTGTCATCTGATTTTGCAACCTCAAGTGGTGTCCGACAAGGCTGTCCATTATATATATTTGTTTAACTTCGTCATAGATCTACCGCTGGAAATAATGCTCTCGTCATCTGAATTTTCAGGAATCGATCACCTACCAGGAGGTCCACTTCTCGACTTAGAAAACGCAGATGATATAGTCCTGTTTGGTGAATACGCTGAAGAAATGCAGTCTTTTGGTCGCACTGAGAAACAATACGAGGAAGTTTGGGATGCGTTTCTCCCCGTATAAACACAAGTTGTTGCTTCAGAAATAGTCTGCGTCAACACCTGAATGGATGGGGAGTGAAGTAGTCGAACGCGTCGACAAGACTTATCTCGGAAGTCTGGTCAGCCCTAATGGGTTGATGTGTGATGAAATCTCTGCACGGATTCAAAAAGCTCGTTTGGCTTTTGCCAACTTATGTCATTTATGGCCAAGTGGAGATATCCGCCAACAGTTAAGGGACGAGTATACTGATTTAGTTCACGGCCTCGAAATGTGGCCATTAAGAGTAGAACACACACATAAGCTATTAGTATTCGATCACAGACATGTTAGAAATATTGCTTGTGAAGTTAGACTTAGGGTATTAGTGGGATGATGTTAAATCAGTTGGTGAAGTTGTAAAACTTCATCGACTGAGATGGTTGCGCCACATGTTACGTATCCCTGGACATCGATTACAACGATGCGCAATGCTGACTGGTGTTGGGATGGTTGGATGAATGTTATGAGCGACCAAACCAAAACGTCTCACCAGTTCATAAAGTCACTAAATTCAAGTCTTAGCCATGTTGGTAGATGCAGACTACTTGGTTGGGATCCGCATGACTATCGTAACCAATACTTGGAGATTGTGGTTGACACGGCTCAAAATCGATCACAATGGCGTATGTGTATACACTCTCTATCTTTCCTTAAACCTTGAGATTAAAATTGCTTCATATCTTTCTTTCTTCCTGTATCATATCCTCATATGCAATATTTTTTTACATATTACCACCATTGAAGTAACTACTTCTATGAATTTAGTGTTCATCTTGTTGTGCTAATAAGGTATGGATACTCGGACCGACGGATATATGTGTCTGGTCCTAGGTTGTAGCTGACTGAGTGACTGACGGATGGCACTAAACAGGACATTTAGATCATATTTCGAAAAACCTATTGTCAGACGATTTTCTTACCAATGAAATAAACATATGCTTGAACAACCTAGTATTGAATCGGATCTGCTGTTTGTAACTTTATGAACAGGAAAACAGTTCAACTCCAACAGAACATACCATTTGTTTTCGAAGTTTTCTAGTTTATAGGATAATAAGTAATACCCACTAATATTAGGTTATTCAATTAAAAAAGCAGTGATTGGAGTGGAAATCAATAGAATTTTTATGTGAATGTTCCGGGATCCAAGTATATTGTTGCTTTAACGATGATTTGAAACCACAAATATCTCTGTTTAAAGTTCTAGTTTTATCCACTAGGTTATGATATTCATATCTTGATCAACGGGTATTACTCATTATAAATATTCCTGTTTGTGTTGTTGGTTTACGGTAATGAATAATGTACTAGTAATCTTCTATATAATTGACAGTGAAGTGTCAATGTTTCGAATTTTGTTTATAGAATTCATGGTTACATTATCAACGTTTAGCAAAATATTCACTCGACCTCATAAACGTGTATTTATTTAGTATTATCCTTATTGGCATAAAAGTCAAATTCCAGACGCGAAGAAATAGTACTTTAGTAAAACTACACTTTATAATTATTACCGCTTAACCGTTAATTAAAACTCCACTTGTAACACTTATCGAGTTACTGGCAGTCACAAGCCTGGGTAAAGGAGGACGGTTGAACATATGGACGACACACTAACAAGGAGCTTCGCACAAAAATACATTGGTTCAAACTATAAATTTATACAGCAGTGAAAGAAATATTACTAATGCCTAGCTTTTCATTGAAGTTGATATTATATACAGTCCTGTGCCTTTTATCTTGCCGTGCTGGGGTGATGAACACTAGAGTCGCGTCCTACATTGATAACAATTGACAAATATGTTCAAGCTGAAAGGATGAGATGATATTAAACTTAATAATGTAAGTCCACAAACGAAAACAGTGACAAGTTTCCCAGAATTTGATATGTAAAAGTAAGTTTAATTGGGTTGTGACTGGTTATGAGATTTACACCTCCACAGTCAATAACTATGTAACCTATAGTCATATCTTGTTTTGACCACAATTACGTTTTTAACTACCTAATTCTACTTCATGCACTATTCGATTTCAGAGTTGACGGTTGTAAGGAAAGTGATGATCTATAAAATCTGGTGAACTTCATTGGCTGTTTTATGTAAACCTTTGGGCGAAATCCTAATACTGTTTACTAGGTGGTTCCATCACATGCAACATTTAGAAATCATTTATTTATTTGAACACATAAAAAGTTGATCCAAGGGGGCACCAAATACATCAGCGCCACACAAAGCAATGAGGCCAGTAGTAGTTTATGACTGGTTTGTGTGAGGGCTGTCATGCTGTCCGAGTGACCGAAACGAAGCACATGGTTCTCATACGGGGATCCACATCCTGACACTCTGACCTAAAGGTCTAATCCACAAACCAGTGGAGCAACGTAAGAAGATACAGCTTCATGGTGGCCGGTGACCGATGATTGGTTCATACGCCGAATGGCTGTGGACATGAAGAAATATAATTTGATGGTGCTCAGAGTAAGCGAAAGTCATTGAACCCAAGCTGGACAGAAAAGGTTAGATACGGGGTAGATGATGCTATACTCTGGTCAAGAAAAAAATGATCCACACACTCAGGGAGTCGCTCTAATGATGTCCAAAGAAGAATGTAAAGTCCTTATTGGGTAAGAATCACATCGACCCAGGATCATCAACGCATCATTCAAAACAAAGAAGGGAATCACAATGAATATCATTCAGTGTTATGCAGTCACTCAGTCAGCTACAACCTAGGACCAGACACATATATCCGTCGGTCCGAGAAGCCATACCTCATTAGCACAACAAGATGAACACTAAATTCATAGAAGTAGTTACTTCAATGGTGGTAATATGTAAAAAAATATTGCATATGAGGATATGATACAGGAAGAAAGAAAGATATGAAGCAATTTTAATCTCAAGGTTTAAGGAAAGATAGAGAGTGTATACACATACGCCATTGTGATCGATTTTGAGCCGTGTCAACCACAATCTCCAAGTATTGGTTACGATAGTCACGCGGACCCCAACCAAGTAGTCTGCATCTACCAACATGGCTAAGACTTGAATTTAGTGACTTTATGAACTGGTGAGACGTTTTGGTTTGGTCGCTTATAACTTTCTTTCAACCATCCTCAATACTATTTATGAACCCACCGATGATAAAGATCAATTTTACGAGAAGCTTCCATCAACAATAGAAAAGCGCTCAGGAAAAGACCTCACAGGAGACGTAAACGCCGAAGTTGGAATGGACAACACTGGATATGAAAGTATCATGGGGCGAAATGGACTGACTGGGTGAAAAGAACGAGAATGGTGACGTATTTTCAAATTTATATGCGCTCAACAAAGTGGTTATAGGCGGTAAAATATTCTCTCACAAGCACAAACACAAAGCTACATACGTCTCACCGGATCACACTACAAATATCCAGGTAAATTATTTTTGCATCAGTAACAGAAAAAGTTTTAAGAGAAATTCAAGACACAAGCTGAATACACAGAAGCAAACAAGCAAGTGAAGAGGAGCGTTCAAGCTGACAATCACAAATATGTGGAAGACTTAGAAACGACTGTGTAAAACGCTGCAAGAGAAGGAAATATGAAACAACTATATGACGCAACGCGCAGGCTAGCAGGGAAATCTAGTAAACCAGAGAGACCAGTCAAGGACAAAGAAGGCAAAACAATCAACGAAATTCAAAAACACAGGTACAGATGAGTTGAACATAACATTACAGAAATCACCAAACTGAATTATGAGGCAAGCGCTAACTTGTGGCCCTATTGGGAAACGAAAAAGAGGAATGCCGAAGAATACAGTGCGTCGGGAATTGAAAGCAGACATAAAATCGATGAATGGGAACTGGAAGGGATTGTCTTGGACAGAGTTTGATCGAGAATGCTGATGGGTGGCCTATGTTCCTCCACGAGGAAGTATCAAGCGAAGGTAAGTGACCGCTGATTATAGAGTATGGAATCCAAGAGAGAAATGTTGCAATTTGAGGAAGTATACTAATAAATAATTAACAGAGCAATTATCGGCAAAACGAACACATTAAGCAACTCAAATGAGAATTATAATGTTCCAGTTTAAAAAATGATAGAGTGGAATGCTTTACTGAAATTAGGTTTCTTTTGGGTGATACAATCTGTATTACTCACTGCAAGGTCTGTTGCTCTTCATACGAGTCAGACTAATTTGCGATATATTTAGGGCTTGGTTCCGTATGTTTGATTCGACGAACTACAGCGTTTTATTGAGTTTCCTGTCAAAACCACTGTCCTATGTGGACATAGATTGTGACTAATTATGGTTGGTGAACGAAGGAAATACTCAAAATCTATTTATGTTAGCTTTATTCAAACTACCTGTAGACTTAATTTGCTCAACTTATAGGATTATAATTAGCAGAATGCTCTGGATTTAGGCCTTGTGTTAGTTTACTCGGGTTGGCGAAAATCTGACGAAATTGATCCTTGACGAACTACAAATAACTTAACAGAGGTCCTATATTAGGCGTGACTAAGAAGCTATAAAGATCGACAGAACAATATAAGGATTTTGATTAGTTGAGAAGCATTTATCTTCCTGTGTTCTAATACTGATGTTAAGGTAGGTACGTCAAGCACTTTCAAAACATTAGTGGCCGGTCCATTTTTTTAGTCAAACTTTTAAACTATTGTTATTTTGTACGTAGTTTAAACTAATAATATTGGACTATTCTCGCTGTTGAATTCATGAGTCAGTGTGAGGTTTGTTTACGTTCTCTGCCGTTACATTCATCCCGTCAACTCTCTTGGTGTACTGTTTTATACTACTTACTAATATTCAACAAACAGTTGTATTCCTAACAATTTTTATGTCTGTCGTAACGCAAGTTTATGGTGTAATATTCTAAAACATTTACGTATACTCATAACATTTATAGTATCTATCCTTATAACTTTTTCTTAATCCTTGTAGCAGTTATTCGTAATTTTGTATGGTCGTTTAATTCTTGTTTAAACACAACGGTTTCTATATTATTGTTCTTGGTTCCGTTTTTGCTTGTTGATAAACTGTTATCAAGATTAGACAGTTATCAGCTGTCATTTGCACTATCGTATTTCATAGTTATTTTTTACGTTATTATTGTAGGAGATCCCTTTTATTTCAGATTTACAGACGCGCTAAGAGCCACAGACACCTCATAAGTTGAAGTTTGTAACAAACTTAGATATAATACTCAATAAAGAACCACTTTTTTAGACAAATCGCCGTTTTGTGAACTTCGATTTCGGGGGTATCTCAAAATTGTGATTAGACTCTTAAATAAACTTAAGTTGATCTAAGCTAGACTCGTGAATTTGATTTTGAAATACTACCATGTCCACAAATCGCAAAACTGACAATATTGTATTAGGAGAAAAGGATATTGGCTCCGACCAGAAACTGACCGGGTTTGATGTAATTCGCATTACATTTATTGAAGATAACATGGACCAATCTATTTGATATTATCGGCATTTTAAACGTTTCAGTAAATTGTTTGTTTTTGATAATGATCACTTTGATCGAGAGCATGAATCGATTGGTGTTAGACCACCATTGAAAACTTGGAAGCATTGAACGACTGTTTCGTCCTAGTGTGGGACTCATCAGTAGTGTACACCAAGGACCTCAGATCTCGCCCACGAACGCTTAACCTCTAGACTACTGAGCCGAAACCCAACTGTGTTAATGTCTAATTTCAACCAATCCAAGAAATCGCACCACTGTCTTTTATTGTCTGAGGTAGATACCTATTTCTACCTGAAATGGATTAGCTCTGTTGGTTACGGCTTCCCTCTAGAACTCGTAGGTGAGCAATGCTGAGGAGTCCCACACTAGGACGAAACGGCCGTTTAGTACTTCCAGGTTTTTAATGGTAGTCTAACATCAATCGATTCATGAACTCAATCAAAAACGTAACAATCTTTACAACTCCATACTGATAATGGTCACTTTATTTAAATAAAGTAAAATAAAAATAATAAAGAATTCAAGCAATTTTTTTTAATGTAAGTGTAAAAAATCATATACATGCCATATTTAAATTGTAATGATGAGAGTTAAAAAGAAATAATTATCTAAGGAGGCATACGTACACCTCCATCCAATCGAATTACTGTACCATTAAGCATTGGATTACAGATGATAGCTTCAACAAGTTTTACAAATTCTTCTGGTTTACCTATACGATTCGGGTTTAATGAAAGCTTTTTCAACAATTCTGCATTTGGTACGGCGTTAAATAATGGAGTATCAAAAAATCCTAAAAAAATATAATTTAGAAAATTGATAAATGTAACGTATATCTGTAAGTGGCTGTGTACAAAGATTATATATTTTGCTTGTAAATTGTCTACACACGTTTATATACACAAAAAGAAAGTAAAATATGGCATTGTCTTATAAAAATATAAGTCTCCCTCCGCCATCTAGTCTTAAGGTAACACCATTGATCATTGGATTTTGAAGAATGTTCATTACACACGAACTAAATTCATCCGGTTTACCCATACGCTGTATTGCCAATTGAACATCATTTAAATAATCGAGATTTGATTGTTTATATCCACGCTCTCCCATTATTGTCTTCGTATTAAGTAGACCTATGAAATTTAATATTATGATAAGCCTCTGATAGACATAATATTAGAAAATAATGTAGTGATCATAGTAAAGTATGGATAACTTTCCTAATTGTTCTATAAATTTTGTGATTAAATTAGATTTAAATGCACAAGTAGCTATTAGTTAATCAATTCCAAAAGTATTATTATTATTATTGTTACCAAGAGTAGCTTTATTCAATGTGGAACTCTTAACATAATTTATTAAAACAACTTTCATTATTTTTTTATTATTTATTAATCCTGATGATAAATATTGAATGATCGCCAGTTACATGTTAGCAGTTCATGAATCGACATTTGATTAATGTTCATCTTTCTCAATGTATATTTCCAGCCAATTTGATGTCTTTGTACTTTTTTATAACATATAAAGCGAAAGGTAGTAAACTTTTAATAAACACGTCTGAATAGATTATACGATTAACAGATATGATGATGTGTTATAACAAACAAAAAGTAGAAAACTCGTTGAAATATCTACATGACACGAAAAGATATTCAATCAGATCGCCATGTATATACTTTGAATAAGATCAATACGCGGAGCGAACGGTGTACATCAATATATAAGATTCAAAATAGTAAAATAAGCCAAAGAAACAAATTGCCGAACTAATGAGGATACACAGGGAATGAATAAATTTGTAGTGCAGCAATGAATTTAAGACCTGTCACATAAAAGTTTCTAGTTCATGTTGGCTAAGAAGTCAAGATCTTTGATCTATCTACACATACAAGAAAAATGTGTGAACTTACTTCCTCCTGTTACCCCCTCGTGGAGGAACATAGGTCACCTATCAGCATTCTCGATCAAACTCTGTCCGAGAAAATCTCTTACACTTCCCATTCATCGATTTCATGTCTGCTTTCAATTCCCGACGCACTGTATTCTTCGGCATTCCTCTTTTTCGTTTCCCTTCAGGACCACAAGTGAGTGCTTGCCTCATGATTCAGTTTGATGATTTCCTTAATGTATGTCCTATCCACTTCCAACGTCTTTTCCTAATTTCCTCTTCGCCTGGAAGCTGGCTTGTTCTCTCCCACAGTAGACTGTTGTTGATGGTTTCCCGTCAACGGACATTGAGTATACTTCGTAGAAAATTGTTTATATATACTTATACGTTTTGGTAATGGTTGTGGTAGTTCTCCGAGTTTCAGCTCCATACAGTAGAACTGCCTTGACGTGTGTATTGAAGATTGTGACTTTGAAATTCGTTGAGAGTTGTTTTGAGTTCCATATGCTCTTCAACTGTAGGAATGCTGTCCTTGCTTTAGCAACCCTTGCCTTTACATCTGCATCAGATCCTCCGTGTTTATCAATGATGCTGCTCAGGTACGCGAAAGACTCCACATCCTCTAGAGCTTCTTCATCAAGTGTGATTGGGTTGGTGTTCTCCGTGTTCTATTTGAGGATCTTGCATTTTCCCTTTGGTATGTTGAAGCCTACTGGTGCAGATGTAGCCGCTACACTAGTTGCCTTCATCTGCATTTGTTGGTGTATGTGGGATAGAAGAGCTAGGTCATCTTTGAAGTCCGAATCGTCTAGTTGCATCCAAGCTGTTCATTTTATTGCGCGCTTCCCCTAAGATGTGGAGGTCTTCATAATCCAGACAATCACCAGAAGAAAGAGAAGGGTGGGGAGTAGGCAGCCTTGTGTGACTGCGGTCCTTAATCGCAATGCATCTGTTAGCTGTCCTCCATGCATCACTTTGCACAGTAGTCCGTCGTATGAGTTCCAAACAATGTTGACAATCTTCTCAGGTATACCATAGTGTCGAAGGAGGTTTTATTAGGTTCTCCTGTCCACACTGCCGAACGCCTTCTCATAATCGATGAAGTTGATGTATAGTGAAGAGTTTCATTCAATTGATTGTTCAACGGATCCTCATCCGTAGTGTTGCTATGTGGTCCGTGCACGACCGATCCTTACGGAATCCAGCTTGTTGGTCTCGATTTTGGGCGTCTATTGCGTCTTTCATCCGGTTCAGCAACACTCTGTTGACAACTTTTCCTGGTACTGACAGTAGTGCGATGCGTCTGTAATTCTCACATTTGCTCATATCTCCTTTCTTCTGTATTTTGATGGGGTATCCTTCCTTCCATTCTGTTGTTGGCACTTGTTCTTCCTCTCAAATCTTCCTGAATAGAAGGTGGAGCATGTTTGCAGTTACTTCAATGTCTGACTTCAGTGCTTTGGCTACTACATCGTTAGGTCCTGCTGCCTTCTCATTCTTGATTTGTCTGACGACAAGCCACCTTGATTTCTTCGGTCGTTTGTGGAGTGACATCTATAGGAAGTTCTGTGTGTGGTGCTTCGATGTCCGGTGGATTCAATGGAGCTGGACTTTTGAGAGTTCCACGAAGTATTCTACTCATCTTTTCCTCTGTTGTTGAATCTCGATGATTATCTTTCTTTATTTGTCTTTGACCGATCTCTCTGGTTTACTATATTTTCCTGCTAGTTTCTTCGTTGTATCATATTTCCTTCTCTTGCAGCTTTTTCCACTGTCGTTTCTAGGTCTTCCACATATTTGTGCTTGTCAGCTTGAACGCTTCTCTTCATTTGCTTGTTTGCTTCTATGTGTTCAGCTTGTGCCTTGACTTTCTCTGTTCGACTGTTATTACTTGATGTCTTCTTGTTCTTCCTTTCTTCAATCTTGCCCAGTGTTCCCTTCGCATTAGTTTCATCTAGGCAACCACGAAGTGGTGATCTGAAGCCCTGTCGACTCCTTCCTGGTTCTCACATCTTCCATTGACATCCTGAATTTTTTAGTGATGCAAGTGTCATCCATCTGGTTCTTTGTAGTGTGATCCGGTAGACCCATGTATCTTTGTGTATGCGTTTGTTAGGATATATAGGGCCACCTATAGCCGTTTTTAAGGGACATGGATTCGCAAATTTCATGCCATTTTTGTTTCCTTCTCGCAATCAGCTCATATCGTTCTATGATATATTCTTAAAGGGTGCTATCCATCCTGACCTTGATTTTTAAGTCTCCCATCAGGAAGACCAGATGATGAAAAGTAATGTTTTTAACCTCTCAAGCTCATAAAACTAGTTGTATTAATGATCAGTCATTGACACTGAACTATGCAACTTTTATCAACTGACCTGGAGCAATGGAGACACACCGAATTCCTTCTCGTGCAAGATCACGAGCAACTGGCAACGTAAGACCAGCAATACCACCTTTACTTGCTGAATAAGCAGCTTGTCCAACTTGACCTTCATATGCTGCAACACTTGCAGTATTGATTATTACACCACGTTGATTATCAGCGTCTGGTTCATTCGCTATCATTAAACCAGATGCAAGTCGGATCATATTGTAAGTACCGATAAGGTTAGTCTGTTTAAAGATAATAGAAGTAATGAATTTTATATATATTCTTGACAGAGTTAGTTAAGTAAATTTAATAAGCTTCTCCGAAATCTAAAACTTAAACGTACATGACATATTAATATACACAACTGCAACTTGACAGATTTCTTACGATGCAGTGTACTTAATTTGAATCTGTTAGGCATACTATATGCCATAACACTTACATAGTGATATTATAAATGCTTTTTGAATCAAAACTGCACATATCCATTGCTACTAACATAGTACAAGCCAGAATTACATGAATGATAGATTGACGGAAAACCTTGGAAACATGGTTAAATTAACAGACTGTCAAAACAAAAAAAAACGCAGATATATTGATGACATCATTACTATTTTCATATATGTTAGCGGGATATGGATTGGATTAAGGTATATTCCTTTCAGGATTGTGTTGGGGTGCAGTGAACAAGAACACAAGTGGGGACTACCGATTGTGTTTGAGTACAAAATCACAGAATCACTTTATAAAATATGAGAATCATATATTGAATAATTCATTTGCAAACTTCCATCATTTGTCCTTAAAATTCTGTATGATTCTTCCCATTCGCAATTCCTTTATATTCTCTACAAATTGATCTTTTTAGCCTTCTGCTGCCAGGGTTTCCCCTTACGATTGGTGTTACATACTACTTATGTCCGTCGACATAAGTAGTATACACCACAGGGGCATGCTGATTGGATATTTCTTAGCCGACCAGCGCTAGCGTATACTTGGAGAAGGCTCTAGAATTATCTTATGTGAAAATTATAAATATGGTAATGTTTCTCTTATTGTGATTTCTAATTACACCCATCCTTGTTATTTGAAATATAATTACGTTCCTGTTTAACCGTGTTCTGATCTGAGGGCGTGTGGAGTGAAGTGGTGTCCTAGAAATAATAAGCAATAAGAGTAGCTGGGTTGTAATGAGCGAGATCATAACAACTTGTTTCAAAAGTTTTGATGACACGAAGATTTATGAGAATTGATGAACACATGCTTTCGATCCTCTATTTTTACGAAAAATACATGTACGGGATGAAATCACTGAATAGAACCCATTTAGTGGGGGTCTGCGACAATCTTAACTTACCTTTCAGTGGCCAACGAATTGATGTCAGTAAATTGCTTGCAAATTTTGTTTCAAGTAAGTATCAAACTGAGTTAGCTTCTAGGCTAGCTACCATCTCACCGAAAAGTATAGATGAACATTGGTTGCAACTGCATGAAGCCATAAAAATGGCAAGTAAAGTCATTTCCATTCAAGCAGTGGGGTTAGGTAGGGTTTCCCAATCTCACCATTCCTCTTCAACTTTGCCATCGATGACATTCTGGAAAGAGCTCTGATGGATGTAAGTAATGGCGGTGTGGATATGTTGCCTGGAGAACGACTTCTCGACCTTGAGTATGCGCATGATATTGTCTTACTGTGCGATAATGCCCAAGGCATGCAATCCGCACTTAATCAGTTGGAAATCAGTGTCCGCACTTACAGTATGTGCTTTGCACCCTCCAAGTGCAAAGTACTCCTACAAGACTGGCAGGATTCTCATCCTGTACTCACCTTGGGTGGTGAGCAGATTGAAGTAGTTGAGAAGTTCGTGAATCTAGGTAGCTACATAAGTGCTGGTGGCGGCGTGAGTGATGAGATCGATTCAAGTATAGTGAAAGCCACAGCGGCTTATGCTAATCTGGGCCGTCTTTGGCGCCTCCGTGATGTTAGTCTGGCTGTAAAAGGTCGGATCTACAACGCGTCGGTGAGAGCAGTTTTGCTCTATGCTTGTGAAACCTGGCCTCTCCGAGGTGAGGATGTTAGACGATACTCTGTGTTCGATCGTCGTTGTTTCCGAAGGATTGCTGACATCCAGTGGCAACACCATGTTGGTAATGCAGAGGTTCGGCATCGTGTGTTCGGGCGCAGAGACGATAATCCAATTGGTGTCACCATCTTGAAACATCGACTTCGGCGGCTGGGACATGTCGTTTCAGAGAATTCCACGTCGTGCATTATTTGCCGACGCTGGGACTGGTTGGAAAAGACGGAGAGGTGTTCAGTGTATGACATGGTGTCGTAGTATGAAAGAAAGCTGCAAAGAGCTAGCTTCTGTTAGTCCTTCCTGACTCTCTGGTTGAAGTCCGAGAGATGGTGTAATACAGTGGCTAGAGACGTTGTCAGATATGGCTCAGAATAGAAGACAGTGGCGATCCTGCCGTAACTTCCTTAATAAAAAGTGATTATAACTTCCTTAACTGAAAGAGTTTTTCTGGTTGTACATTTCTGTTTCCCCCATTAGTACTCTTGATATTACACTAACTGTTATATACAGTGGAGAATTATGAATGGTATCTTCGAAGACTATTTATGGACAAATGTGATATGTACATATCCATATTCGTGTCCCTCTTATTATAAGTTTTATTTTGACCTATAGACAGTTATTATACGATTTACCATTCTTGAGTTATCCATAGTTCATTAATTACTGTTTTCCCTATTCACAGCCACGTTTGGCTAAATCTTGTACAAATGTTATTTTCCATTTTATGGTACGATGTGGTCAGTTTATTTGGTATATAAACCCAGTATGTTTGAGAATAATGATTCATATTACAGAGGCTGTTATTGGTGTTCTGGACTTAACTGGCTGGGCTAGGCAGAGTCAGTCAGTCAGTCACAATGTAGGACCAGGCATATTTATGCATCGGTCCAAGTTGCCATACCTCTTTAGCACAACAAGATGAGCACCGAATTTATAAAAGTAATTAATTTAGTGGTGGTAGTATATAAAAGATAGGTTGTATATAAGAATATAGTATAGGAAGGAAGTACGTTATGAAGCAATTTTAATCTCATAGTTTAAGGGAAGACAGTAAGTGTATACACCTACGCCATTGTGATCGATTCTGAGCCGTGTCAACCAGTCTCCAACTATTGGTTACGATAGTCACGCGGACCCCAACCAAGTAGTCTGCATCTACCAACATGGATAAGACTTGAATTTAGTGACTTTATGGACTGATGAGACGCTTTGGTTTGGCCACCCCTAACTCTTTTCCAACCATCTCCTATACTAGTCAGCATAGCACGTCGTGGTAATTGGTATTCAGGCATACGTAACACGTGACCTAACTATCTCAGTTGATGAAGATTCACGGCCTCATCAACTGATTTACCATCATTCCCTAATACCCTGCGTCGAACCTCACTATTATTTACCCGGTGATCCCAGCAGATGCGAGCAATATTTATAAGACATCTGTGGTCAAATACTAGTAACTTGCGAGTATCTTCTACTCTTAATGGCCATATTTCACAGCCGTAAAGTAGAACAGAGAGAACTGCTGCGCAGTATACTCGTCCCTTAATTGATAGACGGATATCTCGTCTTCGCCATAGGTGACATAAGTTAGCGAAAGCCAAACGAGCTTTTTCAATCCATGCTGAGATTTCGTCAGACACCAACCCATTATGGCTGATCAGACTTCCAAGATAAGTGAAGTTGCCGACGTGTTCGACTACTTCACTCCCTATCCTTAGTTCAGGTGTTGACGCAGGCCAGTCGTGGAGTAACAATTTACATTTAGATGGGGAGAAACACATTCCAAACATCCTGGCATTATTACTCATTTCTAAGAGAAGACTCTGCATTTTGTCAGCCTCTTCACCAAACAGGACTATGTCATCTGCGTATTCTAAGTCGATAAGTGGACCCCCTGGAAAGAGATCAATTCCTGAAAATTCAGTCGACGAGTGTTATTTCCAGCAATAGGTCTATAATGAAATTAAACAAAAATGGGGATAGTGGACGACCTTGTCAGACACCACTTGAGGTTGTAAAGTCATATGACAGTTCGCCATAAGTTCTCACTCGACTGGTAGTGTTCGAGTAAAGAGCCCTCACAAGATTTATGTACTTCTCAGGTACACCTTTCAATGACAGACACTGCCACAGAACCTCTCGGTCTAGAGTCAAATGCTGCTTTCAAGTCAAGAAAAACTATCATTGTCGGACGCCGATAAGTATGTCTGTGTTCTAAAACCTGATGAATAGTGAATATGTGGTCGATGCAGCGACGACCAGGTCTGAAGCCAGCCTGATTTTCTCGTGTTTGCAGTTCACGAGTCTTAGGCGCCCAATAATTATTGAGGCAAGTATTTTAGATGCTATGTTGGTCAGGCTAGGCAGAAAGCAGGACTGATAAATATTCAAGACTGCTCATACGGCTTTTGTGTTTCATTTCTCTGATCGATAGTTCACTCCTCTCTGATAGGTGGGGATCGTCACGTCATATATAACAGGACACACACGCACTCACTTAATCAGTATAACACTAACATACACTAATCTGTGGTTTTTATTGTTTCTTTATTTTTTTTCTTATATGCATCTTACCCCTTTTTTCCTCCCATTGCAATTGCTTTGTGTGGCACATATATATCTGGTGCTACCTTGTGCCAATATTTATGTGCTTAACTAAATAAATAAGTGGGGGTTAATTTAAAATGTGGTGGGTTTTTTTTATCAAAGGACTCCATTTTTAATCAGAAGCTTTACATTATTATTATCCATCAGCTTTAGATAGACTACCCTCATAAAGTATAGCTTGAAGTTGAACACATACGTTACATTAATAGAATGTTTTACAAACATTTTGCTTCTAAATTTAAATTTTAAAGACTTTAGATTAACTCATTCCCTAAGCACTTATATGAGGCACACTAAATATTAGGGCTAACAATACTACATGGTCGGTCAAAAGAAATAGATGGAGGAGCGTTCGAACTAAGGACTTGGTGACCGAAAGTCCAATGCCTAAACCACTGTTCCACAACATATTGAAGAAAATTTGTAAACACACACCAACCTTTATTACTTTCTCAAATAAATCCAGTGGATGAGGTGTTTGCCGTGTGGCATTGAATGTTTTACAGGCCACTGCCAATCCAGCACAATTAACCAAAATATGAAGTTTTGAGAAATTTTTCTTGGCCAAATCTACAGCTTTTTTCGCATCAGATTCTGAGCCAACCTGAGAGATGGAAATAATAGTAATAGCCATAAATGTAAATATGTTTTGTCTACATAATCAGTTATTGCATGTAAGGAACAACTTACGTCTGTTTCACAATAAACACAATTACTGCCTAGTTCTGATAGCACAGGAGACTTTTGTAAGTCACACACTAACACATTGCATCCTTCAGCAATTAGTCTGCATATAAAATAAAGTTGAGATTCGAAAATGCTAACTTTTTAGTTGTAGCCAACCCAAGTCCTGATGATCCTCCAGTTACGATTGCAGATAATCCCTAGAAATTTTGATTACGAACAACCTGCCAAACTTTTAATGAGGCAAACATGATCACCCAGGTTCTATTGAGTCGATTTGTGTGAACGTACAGTTGTTTTTTTCAACTTCTGAAGAGAAAGACTCAAAATTAAGATGAGCAAGAAACAAAGTGGAACGTGTTAAACATGAAAATTGCTTCCAAAAAGTTGGTTATCTCAGAACAATAGAACAGGGACACATTAACAAGGAGCTTCGCACAAAAATACATTGGTCCAAACTATAAATTTATACAGCAGTGAAAGAAATATTACTAATGCCTAGCTTTTCATTGAAGTTGATATTATATACAGTCCTGTGCCTTTTATCTTGCCATGCTGTGGTGATATACACTAGAGTCGCGTCCTACATTGATAACAATTGACAAAAATGGTCAAGCTGAAAGGATGAGATGATATTAAACTTAATAATGTAAGTCCACAAACGAAAACAGTGACAAGTTTCTCAGAATTTGATATGTAAAAGTAAGTTTAATTGGGTTGTGACTGGTTATGAGATTTACACCTCCACAGTCAATAACTATGTAACCTATAGTCATATCTTGTTTTGACCACAATTACGTTTTTAACTACCTAATTCTACTTCATGCACTATTCGATTTCAGAGTTGACGGTTGTAAGGAAAGTGATGATCTATAAAATCTGGTGAACTTCATTGGCTGTTTTATGTAAAACTTTGGGCGAAATCCTAATACTGTTTACTAGGTGGTTCCATCACATGCAACATTTAGAAATCATTTATTTATTTGAACACATAAAAAGTTGATACAAGGGGGCACCAAATACATAACCGCTACACAAAGCAATGAGGCCAGTAGTAGTTTATGACTGGTTTGTGTGAGGGCTGTCATGCTGTCCGAGTGACCGAAACGAAGCACATGGTTCTCATACGGGGATCCACAACCTGATCCTTTGACCTAAAGGTTTAATCCACAAACCAGTGGAGCAACGTAAGAAGATACAGCCTCATGGTGGTCTGTAACCAATGATAGGTTCATACGCCGCATAGCTGTGGAAATGAAGAAATACAATTTGATGGTGCTCAGAATAAGCGAAAGTCATTGAACCCAAGCTGGACAGAAAAGTTTAGATACGGGGTAGATGATGCTATACTCTGGTCAAGAAGAAAAAAATGATCCACACACTCAGGGAGTCGCTCTAATGATGTCCAAAGAAGAATGTAAAGTCCTTATTGGGTAAGAATCTCATCGACCCAGGATCATCAAAGCATCCTTCAAAACGAAGAAGGGAATCACAATGAATGTCTTTCAGTGTTATGCAGTCACTCAGTCAGCTACAACGTAGGCCCCCAAATGCCCTGGTACGGCCGAGAGTGGAGAGAGTCTACTCTCCCTCTCGAATGCTCTCATATGGCCACGCGAATACATAGCCTCTGACAGGGAAGTCCTACTCACTGCCTTCTCGTGGCGGGGAGTTGTTCACAAAAGTGAGAGGACGAAAAGCGAATGTCCTGCGCTTTAACCGGGTTGGTGGATGTGGAGGATCCACCTAGGGGAGTTGGAAAACCCTGATTCCAAACCAATGGTGCACATGGGCTCCAGTATCCTGAAGGAACGAATGGCGTATGAACCAACTGTTGGTCACCGGCTACCATGGGACTGCATCTCTTCATCATGCTCCAGTGAATTGTGGATTAGACCTTTAGGTCAAAGGCTCCGGGTGTGGTCCCCTAAGAAAACCACCTGCTTCAGTCTGGGCACCTGGGCAGTATCACAGCCCTCACACAAATCGAATGAGATTTGTGAGGCGCATATTTATCTGGTGCTTCCTTGTACCAATATTTATGTGTTTAAATAAATAAATAAAATAAATAGGACCAGACACATATATCCATCGGTCCGAGTATCCATACCTCATTTTCTTATTTATTTATTTAAACATATATATTGGTACAAAAGGGCACCAGGTACATATGCGCCATACCTCATTAGCACAAGATGAACACCAAAGTCATAGAAGTAGTTACTTCAATGGTGGTAATATATAAAAGAAAGATTGCATATGAGGATATGATACAGGAAGAAAGATATGAAGCAATTTTAATCTCATAGTTTAAGGGGAGATAAAGATTGTATACACCTACGCCATTGTGATCGATTCTGAGTCATGTCACTCACAGTCTCCAACCACTGGTTACGATAGTCATGCGGACCCCAACCAAGTAGTCTGCATCTACCAACATGTCTAAGATTTGAAGTTAGTGACTTTATGAACTGATGAGGCGTTTTGGTTTGGCCGCTCCTAGCATTCATCCAACCATCCTCAACACTAGTTATACACCCACCGATGATAGCAAAGACGATGATAACAGTTTTACGAGAAGCTGCAATTAAACATAACAACCACCATTACTTACATCCATCATAGCTGTTTCTAGAATGTTATCGATGGCAAAGTTGAAGAAATATTGCTCGCATCTGCTGGGATCACCGGGTAAGTAATAATGAGGTTAGACACATAGTATTAGGGAATGATAGTAAATCAGTTGATGAGGTCATGAATCTTCATCAACTGAGATGGTTGAGTCACCTGTTACGTATGCCTGAACACCGATTACCACGACGCGCTATGCTGACTAGTATAGGAGATGGTTGGAAAAGAGTTAGGGGCGGCCAAACCAGACCGTGGCATCAGAGCATGAAGTCACTAACTTCTAGTCTGCGCCATGTTGGTAGATGCAGACTACTTGGTTGAGGGCTGCGTTACTATCGTAACCAATGGTTGGAGACTGTGGGTGACATGGCTCAGAATCAATCACAATGGCCTAGGTGTATACACTCTTTATCTTCCTTTAAACATTGAGATTAAAATTGCCTCATAACGTTCTTCCTTCCTATATTATATCCTTATATGCAACCTATCTTTTATATACTGCCACCACTAGACCAACTATTTCTATGAATCCGGTGTTCATCTATTTGTGCTAACGAGGTATGGCAACATGGACCGATGCATAAATGTGCCTGGTCCTACGCTGTAGCTGACTGATTGACGGTCTGCACACCTGAGCAGTATCACAGCTCAAACACAAACTAAGTGACTTGTGTGGTGCATATATATCTGGTGCCCATTTGTACCAATAGTTATGTGTTTAAATAAAGTAAAATAAATTGCTCAAGTCGTCCATATAACTGTTGGCGGTTGATGTCAACATCTGGAGAACAATAAGAAGTGAGGCTGATCGTTTTCATCTTCAAGCGGACTTGGACGAATTAGTTAGATGGGCTCGTGGTTGGGGTTTAGAAGTTTGTTTTAGGAAGAGCGTGCTCATGAACATCGGACACGGTAATATATATCATTATGCCATTGATGGTACATCTCTCCCACGCGTTCAAGAACATTAAAACTTAGGAGTAATAATAAATCACGACTTGAAAACAATTGCGTACTGCAACGTGGCTGCTTTCAAAGGTCATCGTGCGTTATGGTTACTTCGTCGAGCATTCAAACGCTTTGACAAGATGTTTCGAATTTTCTATTCCACTTATGTAGGACCACACTTCGAGTGCTGTATTTAAGCAACTAGCCCATGTCTGATGAAGCATAATAACTCATTTGAGCGTGTTCAGCGTGTGGGGACGAAATTAGTGAGGAGAATTTCTAAACTACCTTACGATGAGCGTTTAAAACGCCTAAATTTTTTCCTCTTATCTTATGGTAGGACGCGAAGTGACCTTATACTGGCATTTCGTATCTTTAATTATGATTTGGGTGCTAATATAACTTATCTTTTTGCTCTCTCCAGCACTGATAATCTCCGAGATCATAGCAAGAAGGTTCGCAAACTACGATCTGATAAACTAAAGGTGGGGTCACGTTTTTCTCATAGAGTGGTCAATGACTAGAACACTCAACCCGAACAAGCGGTATCGGCCCCATCAGTGAGCGTTTTCAAGAAGAGGCTGTACCTTCACTGGAAGGCAATCTATCAGGATTAACACATGTTCACCAACGTACCATCCTTCTTCCTGAAGACTGATTATTTAATGACCGGACAGCAGGACATGAGGCCATAGAATCTCTCGCCACTTTATTCACCCTAACTGTAACTTTAATCCAGGGGTCACGCCTTACTATCGTAATTACATGCGACCGGGTCTCACACTTATAAAGAATAACGATGACTCACGTTATGATACCGAAACCAATGATACCGCTCAGCTCAAGGTCAATGTGCTGAAGAGTTAAAACCAGCTTTCAGTTTCAGTTTCAGTCTGGAAAGGACAGGAGGCTTGATAGCCTGTGTTAGTCCTGGCAATAATGGTCTCTCAGCTGATCCAACTTTCTTTTGAAGGGGTCGACGGATGGAGCCTCAACCACGTGCTGAGGTAATGAATTCCACTCGTTGATTATTCGATGGGAAAGTCGATAGTCAGCTGACAAGTAATTCGTTCTGGGCTTGTGAACTTTTTCGGAGTGTCCTCGTAGATTTTCTGTTTTGGAAGACAAGAAAAATGAGGTCATATCAGGTGCAAATTTGTCATTAAGCAATTTGAAAACTATAATCAAGTCACCTCTGATTCTTCTATATGACAGCGGGAATAGGTTTAGCTTGGTCAGTCTAGCACCATACGGGAGCTTCGCTATTCCGGGAATCAGTCTAGTTGCTGTTCTCTGAACTCTTTCCAAGAGTTCAGTCTTTTTTTAGGCAGGGGTTAGCTGCCTATATACAATACTCAAGTTTAGGTCGTACGAACACTGTATACAAAGTCAGAAACGTTTTAGCGTCAACATGCCTAAAAGCCCTGCGTATGGACCATAAAGTCCTAAAACCTTTGGCGGCTACTGCACGGCAGTGTGCAGTAGTCTTTAAGTCTTGACTGACGATGACGCCTAAGTCATTGTGTGCCTGAACAATAGGTAATTCAGTGTTATTCATCGTGTATGTATCTGTACCCTGGTGGCCAATATGCATCACAATACACTTGGAAGTGTTTATCGGCAATTGCCAGGTTTGGGACCATTCAGATAATCTCTCCAGGTCATTTTGGAGTTCTAAGCTATCGCCCTTGCTTTGTATCGCCCTCCATATCTTGACATCATCAGCATAGAGTAAGACCGATGACGATAGTAGACGAGGGAGATCATTTACGTACAGGAGGAATAACACTGGCCCCAAAACTGTACCCTGGGGGACTCCACTAAGCACAGTTTCCCAGCTAGACAACTTGGAGTTCACCCTTACTCTTTGTTGACGCCCAACTAGGAAGTCTTTTATCCACATCAATAGATTGCCTCCAATCCCGACATTCCTTAGCTTATATAACAGCCGGTTATGCGGAACTTTGTCGAAGGCTTTGCTGAAATCGATGTAAGCTACGTCTATAGGTAATTTTTGGTCCTTAAGAGCGCACCAGTTTTCACGAGCGACTAATAAATTTGTGAGACAAGAGTAACCTGTTCTAAAACCATGCTGCTTTTCGGAGAGGATCCGGTTTTCATCGAGATACTTTAACAGTTCCTTCCGAATAATCTTTTCTAAGATTTTAACAACCACACTAGTTAGGCTAATTGGTCGGTAATTCTCAGGCTTATGTTTTGTACCTGTTTTGAAGACTGGACTTACTATGGCGTTCTTCCAGTCTTTTGGTAGACGACCCTGGGTTACGGATAGATTAAAACATATACTTAAAGGGTTCGCAACAAAGTTAGCTAATTCCTTTAGTAACCTAGGATGCAGTTCATCGGGTCCAGTGGATTTACCTATGTCAAGCCTAACTAGCAGACCAAAGACATCGAGTTCTTTAATGGTCACGCTGTCCAGTGCTTGTGTGAGGGGATTTTCATGGACTGGTGAGAAGGGTGTTTCTATGATGTATACATCGCTAAAGTATTTAGAGAATACTTGAGCTTTGCCAAAGTCGTCCTCCACTAGTGATGTGGCAGTACTGTCTCCCCATAGTGAAGGAACATTTCTTCTTCTTTTTGTCCTTTGGTTTATATACGAATACAAGCGTTTTGGGCATTCTATGGATTCCCTAACGATTTTCTCTTCGTACAGCTTTATGGCCTTACGGAGGGTTGAGGCACAGGTATTTCGAGCCTTTTGATACTGAGATTTTGCCTCGTCAGTCCCCAGTAACCTAAATCTGTCCCACATTTTCCTTCTTTTACGGAGAAGGATGCGAACCTCCCTACTGAACCACGGTGGGGAGTTTCTCGGTCTCTTAGGTGTAGTCCAAGGGATGTGGGGGGCGGTAACTTTTAAGTATAAATTCCGGAATACGTCCCAAGCCGTTTCGATTGATGACTCTGGGTCTATTTTCCAATCTACTGATGATGCTGATTTCATGATGTCTGGTATGTTTACTTTCCAGACGTTAGGTCTGGATTGAGCTGAAGCGTACTCGTGATCGACAGTTATATGGAAGTCAAAGCTTAAAACTGCATGATCACTTTTGCCTAGGGGTGGCATGTAATCCAGGTTTGCAACATCATCCTCATAATGAGTCAAGATAAGATCTAGTAAGGATGATGCAGAACCCGGGTCGTACCTAGTTGCTTCCTTCACGTGTTGCACTAGGGCACATGTGATTACCGCATCAACTAGTTCCTGTTCGAAGGAATTCGCTGACGATTCAGTCCGCAGATTTCCCCAGCCCACCATGGGTGCATTAAAGTCCCCTAGGATTAGACATCGATCACTTCGTGATAAAGTGTTGAGACTGCTTAGCAGGACCTCGTTTACCTCACAGCTTGGACTGCGATAGATCAAACTAAGTAGCAACTCTTGTCCCCTGCATTTCAGGCGGCAGCAAACTAATTCATACGTCCCACTCTCATGGGATGCACTGTCGATAATGGTGAATGGAATAGCATTCCTAATGAATAGAGCTACTCCCCCTCCTCTACGCGTTTGTATTCTATCGGCCCTTACCAATGTAAAACCCTCGAAATCAAGTTCCCTACTATCTATAGACGGCGTCAGCCATGTTTCAGTGACTGCGATTATGTCTGGCCTAGTTGAGTCAATCTGTACACCTAGTTCCGGTAGCTTATTTAGTAAGCTCCAGGCGTTGGTATAACAGATCCGAAGCCTATTTAGGTGGCCTCGTGCTTCACCCAGAGTGGCTTCGGCATCATCCTCTGTCGAAGCCTCACAACCCGAAAATTTACAATTTTCAGGTCTTTTTCGCCAGCGTCTAATCTGAGCTGTAGTTCCTTTTCGGCTTCCCGTCTTTTAACACGGTCCGCCAACGGTAAGTCCTTACGGAGAAAAACTCCTGAACCCTTTAATTTGTGTCCATTTTGTAAGATTAAGTCGCGTTCGTTTGGGGATTTGAGAACGACTTTGAGTAGTCTAGACTGATTTGGTTTCAGATGCGCTAGATTTCCTAGTCTATACAATTTTAGCAAGGTGGCTCCGGGGATGTTTTTGGGTATAACTTGGTTGAGTAGTTGTTTTATCAACACAATGTCATGCTCAAAACGAGCTTTCGGTTCTAAGCTGTCACTCTCCTTGACTCTATGGAGAATGACTGATCTGTCGCTGTGATCAGACCTCGGCTTGTCGACCCTTTTGGTGGGGGTATGATTTCCTTTTACGTTATTTTGGCGTTTTTTTCTTACGACCCGTACCCAATCGCCAACGTTCTTTGGAGTGGTAACCACATTCGCGTCAGGCGTACTGTGGGATTCCGGAAGAGTCAGGACGAGTTGGGAGATTGGGTCATTTTTCGCGCTGGAAACCGATCGAGCCTTGCGGTTTCGGCTTCCGGAAGTTCCCTTCTCGGTACCATTTTTGATACGAAGTACAGAAGAGACTTTTTTGCGCGAGTTTCTGGTTGTGTTAGACCTCTTTGGAGGATGTTCTTCCTCCTTAGTAGAGTGTGGGTCGGCATTTTTCGGACTCACTTTGGCCTGCCTTGTGTCAATCTGAGTGTCGACAGATTCAGTTCTGACTGAGATATCCCGACCGCGCTTGCCGAGACACTTTTTTGCGGCATTTACTATTGAGGTGGCCTCGGTTAACAGGCTATTTGCATCCAAACAGCACTGTTGACATAGCCATACGCACCCACTTTTACTGAACCGCTTGAAAGCTGCAGGTGTTAGATTCGTGCAAACATCGTGGTACCAACCTTTGCACTCATCGCACTGCGTGCCGCTATCAACAGGATATCGACATCCTGGGCGGTGGCAAATGCTTTTGTTGTTTAATATGGATGTGCTGCTTTCTGTTACGCATCTTCCCGCAGGCAGTATGATTAAACAACCTTTCAGTATTAAAGTTGTCACTGCTGAATGACAAACTGTGTGAAAGCACAAAATTTGGGCCTCTGTTTATAATTTTAATCAGACCCAAAGCCAATAATGAGCCATCAACAAGCTATTAAACCTCACGTTGACAGGGAATAGACTACTAAATTGTGAAGATTATGGTCCCTTACAATCAAATAATATGGGGTTGTGTTGAGGAAGCCGTTGGTCCATTAGTTAATATCTTGAATCCTCGCCAAATATTTAGGGTCAAGAGATTCTATATTGTTGCAGACTCGGAGTTCATAAACACTTCGCTATTTTCCTATGCACTTTTGGGTGCGAAAAGAAGACGGGAGGTTTAAAGAGTAATCTACTGTTTACACCATCCAACTCTTAAAAAACAAACTATACTAGTTGTGAATCAGTGTTCACAATTAAGCTTCAGGATAACGTATTTCTAACGACAACATGAAAAACAGTACACACATGTCTGTAAGATAGAAAGTGCTTGTCAGACGACATTTGGTTGTGAGGTTATAGACTAAGTTACGAGTGCTGAAACCCATGACTACTCTTGAAATGAACCTAAACAAGTTCATTAACTTCATCAGTAGAACTCTCAAAAACCGATGTTAATAAAGGAATGGAAAACTTTAATAAAAGTTCGTGTGATTTTTGTGTGATTACTAGAAATTGGATCACTAGTATGTGTTTGGAATGATGTGACGCTGAAAACTTCAGCTTTTGTGTGATCTCATCTAGTTAACTTTGGTCGACGCATACTCGTTGGCGTTGATTCAGGCTTGGACCTTAACTCTTTAACGCTCGTACTTTGTTATTCCCTAAAACTTGTATGACGGTGTATGTTGGCATCTGCCCTATTTGGTCTAGTTAGCAATTATTATAAATAGTCGGTATTACTTTTGAAAAGAGGTTTGTAATCAACTAACTTGATTGCATCGAAATATTTGAACGGGTTATACATAACCTCTGTAACGACTGAAATACTAACGTTCGGCCTGAACTCAGAAATAACGAACCAGATGTAGCTGTAAATAAATCCCCAAAATCAATAGCTCATTAAGTGTTCGACATTGGATGCTGACCACATTTTAAGTGGACTTGTTTAACTGAAGGCTTTCGGTTATGCATCCTTTTGGAATTTCATTAATCATTGTGTTGCTTAATTTGACTTTTATATATTAAGATACTTTTTTCACGAGTTTTCATATATACTTTAATTATTTATTTTTCGTTCATCATAATACTTAATTTTTCACAATGACCAAACAGACACCCCAAGTGTTTAAGTTAAGGGCTATTCCCCCACCTTCGATTCAGTTAACGCCTTTTTGGCCTGACAATATCGAATCCTAGTCCTGCTACGCAGAAGCTGACTTTTGCTGGCACGGAATCACGGACTCACACCCACGATTCCTCGCAGTGGTTATGGCACTACCGCGCGAATTTAACGGGTACGTAACACAGTATGTTTACTAGTGATGTTCCGTAACCTTACGAAACACTCAAACGAGAGACAGATGATCCCGACTGCTGCTGGTATCATAACCAGTATGGCAAATCTAGAAATTGCAGGAAGCCCTGCAATTACCCGATCTCCAAGGCGATCGACACGAATAAGAATTCGGGAAACTTCCAAGCCGGCACGCGTTAACGGCAACCGTAGCCGGAAAACATAGCCGCTTCTTATACGTCACGGATGTGACTACGAAAGTTCGTTACCTCGTCGACACCGGCGCAGAAGTTAGCGTTCTTCCAACGAGTCTGTGTTAAGTTTACAGGCGGCGAGAGGAAAACCGATCGCTACATTTGGTAAAAGGTACGTCTACCTTAACGTGGGTTTACGTAAACTCATACACTGGATTTTCGTTGTTGCAGATGTTTCTATGCCAATCATTGGTATAGACCTGCTACAATACCACAATCTGCTCATCGGCACACGCTCACGAAGGTTAATAGACGGAAACACTAAGTTATCTGTTTGCGTAACTCCTTTTTTTGGTTGCAGATTATTCCCAGTCACAATTAAGCACACCATAGACCCATTATATCAACCATTACTCGATAAATACTCCGGGATATATCAACCACAACCGAAATTGCCTTGTGTAACCAGCAATGTTGCACATCACATCTCCACTACAGGACCACCTGTATTCTCCAAAGCACGACGACTGGCTCCCGATAAGCCTAGGTTGGCTGAAAACGGATTCGACCACACGATAAACTTAGGAATAATTCGACCGTCAAATAGCCTTTGGTCATCTCCTTTGCACATGGTCCCTAAAAAGGACAGCAATGATTGGCGGCCAACTGGTGATTATCAGGGTCTGAATGCTAAAACCATTCCCGATCGTTACCCGTTGCCCCACATTCATGATTTGACAGCTACCTTGAAAGGCACAACTGTCTTTTCGAAAATCGACTTGGTGAAAGCTTATAACCAAATACCTATGGCAACTGACGACATCCCGAAAACCGCCATCATCACTCCTTTTGGCCTCTACGAATTCTTACGAATGCCTTTCGGTTTAAGAAATGCGGCCCAAACCTTCCAAAGGTTTATAGACGACGTCTTCCGAGGTCTCAACTTCGTACATGCTTATGTTGACGACTGTCTAATAGCGAATCCGGACAGAGAATCACATCTCAAGCATCTGGACATTGTTTTCGAACGACTTTAAAGGCATGGCATTAATGTAAACGTTCAGAAATGCCAAATCGGAACAACCTCTTTAGACTTCTTAGGACACACCATTGATAATCAAGGCATCCGACCCCTTAGAAGCAAGGTGGTGGCCATTCTGTATTGCCCAGAACCGACCACAATTAAGCAGTTGCTCACATTCAACGGCCTCGTAAGTTTCTACAGATGGTTCATACCAAATTGCGCATTTCTTATGAAACCGTTAACCGACCAACTTCGTGGAAATGCGTGGGACACAGCTCCTACGTTCGCTAGCCAGATCAAAGTAAACGCTTCTCGATATATTGATAACGTATCAAATATATCCTTCCTACCTCTTCTCGTCTGACTTCTGATTTCGATTGGTTGGGGAACGCTTCTTACATAGGTGTTACTTCTAGCTAGTTGTAAAATTAGAATACTAATCGTATCTTCACACAGGTTCGAAAGGCAAATACATTCAATCAAAAGTTCAAAATATCCCAAACGTTATTGCCAGTATTATACATGCAGAGGTTTCCATAGCACAAAGTGACTTGTTGGACAGCAACAGGAACAGTTAGTCCATAAGATTTCGACACTCGAGTATCACTATGTGTATAACCAACGAGATGGGACCAGATATCTTACTGCAAGGATTCAAGTAACCTTTCCAAGCAGACAGTCAAGGGTTAACAAATATACACTGAACCACGCCGTAACCCTGAGTTTAGCCAGAGATTATTTGGTTGTCAATAATCTGGCAACATGAGATAGTTTGATCACATAACAAAGGCAAATCTTTGATCAAATTCGAATAATAAAAGTCCAGACAAAAAAATACTGAAGGATATAAAGTATTGCTTAAAGAGATCTGAATAAAGATAAGAATACAAAACATGGAAAAAGAACAAATAAATGGCAGTACTGTGCAATGAAGTGCTTCGGAGGGATTTCCATGGAGTTCTTTCCGTTACATTAATTTTAAGAAAGCTAGTTGTTGAGCTCTTACTTGACCCAATAGTCAGTGGTCACCACGATGAAGATAAATAACATGTCATAGTCTTTCCACTATTCCATTCCATGCAGGGTGGTGGGCACTAACGCATGCCGTTTTTGCGTCGTAGACTTCTGTATAATAATGAACCAATTGGTCTTCAAACGAAGAACCTCTGTAGGTTATAGTCATTTGTGGGACGTCAAAATTCACCACCCATCTCCCGGGAAACTTTATAACGACTTTTGCAGCTGCAGTAACTGCTTCAACACACATGCACCAAGTTTACAAACAGGTGAACGAGTTGTGTTAATTATTTAATGGAATCTGATTTACCTGCATAGATCAAGGTGAAATGCGATTGTCCTATAAATCTAATGGCCACAAACCGGTCACGTTCATGCCGAGAATGCCCTAAAAAGGACCTACTCATCAGTTAGTTTTTGTAGTATTATAAGGTTGCTTATAAGAGTCAACAACTATAGGTTTTGTGATTATCTTCAGCGTGTCAGAGCACTGCCTAAGGAGCTCAATAAGAAAAAAACTCCTGTTCCTGATCAAGTTAAACGAGAGGAATCAGAAGCTGGTGAAGATGTCGTGGATATACAATGCACAGCCCTGTTGCTCATAAAGTCTTCTTTAAATGAGGATCCAAAATTAAACTAAGACGGAATTCAGAAATAAAGAAATGCGAAGATATACTTGGAAAATTATCTATACTTGATGTACATGACTTAGGCCGACTAGCTTAGGTAAGAATGTTCAGAACGATGTACGGAGAAATAACCTAGTGAAGATGCGTGACGTATCATTTAGATGAGGATTTTAAGTAAAACTAATAGAGTCAGCATCGATACCGAAGACTGATAAAGTTATATTCATGATTTATATGTTACTATAATGTAGTGGGGTTATATAATGTTAGTTGAAGCTTTTTTTGTCCGGACGCATTAATTTAGCCTTCTAAAACCAGCAAACATTCGGAACAAAACTAGGTAACTGTTTGAATATGATTAACTTTAGAATAAAATCTATCAGAACGTTTCCATAGATACGTTAATTGAGCTACAGAATCTGCTTCCACGCCAGATTGAGGCGGATTTAAAAGCAGAATGATCCAGTTGGTTCAACGAGTTGTAGCTGAAAGAAGAATTTTTGCCGAATAGACCTTCGTCTCTAGTAGCAGTGGATAACCGATGCCTTCAGGTTGGAATTTAGATATATGTAACAATAAAAATGGAGATATTAGTTTATTATAATGATATACTATCTTCAGTGCTTAGGAATATATCAAGTTCTCTCATAAAGAACTCCTGTGAAGTCAGTTGAACTTGAGTAGTCGGCAGCGAATTCTACTCATAAGGAATAAAAGGTGTGCCTACAGTCGATTATACTGTGCTGTGAATCTGATTTCTGGGTGTCATCCCCTAATATTTGTGTTGAGAGTGAGCCTAAGTGGATGTTCTAGGAGGTACTCAAGAGTGTTTATGATGCTACAAGTCACTAGAAGGTCACCAGTGAGACACTTCTAATAGGTAAAGATTCAGTTATTTGAGGCGCTATTCATAAGTGCTGGATTCGTGGCTCGCCGTTGATTACATTCTGGTGTATTCTTATCCTGTAGGAGTGAGGAGGGAAACACCGTTTCCATACTCTAAATGAAGTCGAGCAAAACTGTTTAAAACTAAGTGGGAAGTTCTGTCGTCGAACTGATGAAAAATGTGTTTCAACATTACCAGCCCAAGGTTTGGCCGAAAGGTATTTTTGTCGCAATTGACGTGAGACTTTAGATCATAGGGTACCAATACTCCTAGATCTTTTTCAACTTGGGATATCTTTAGAGGGGAGTTACCTAAGTTGTATGCGTTATCTGAAACGCGTCCCAGATGGACTATTTCACACTTTTAGGTGCCGAAAATAAAGTCCGTTGTTATTCACCTAAGTCGGGTCTTATCCTCATGAAGTGCCATCTTATCATCTAGGCTGCGAAATTTGCTTCAGATGCTCTTTTTATATCAACTCTGTGTTATTGAAGAAGTTCTGTAAGTTGACCCTCAGTTAATCTTAACAGTTATCACCGGTTTATTAAATAGTAACAAATAAGCAAAATGACTTGTGTTAACTCGTCACAAGGTTATTGGATACTGAACCGTTTCAGCCTACAGTATTCAGTAATAAGGATAGGAGGTCTATTGATCTATATTAATCCTTGCAAATTGTTACATTGTGAAGGGCCAATCTCGTTTTGAATATACCAACAGAGGGTGCTGATATTACGTGTTCTGGTAGAGAATTCCAGTAATTCACTACTCGGTGCGAGAAAAGAAACTCCAGACGTAGACGATTTGATACCGGTTTTTGAAATTTCTTCGAATGTCCTCTCAAGTGATCAGTCGTAGACGGAAGGAGAAGGTAAGACGTATTAATACCAAGTTCATCGTTCAGGATACGATAAGCCGATATTAGGCGACCCGTATTCTACGGTAAGACAACGGTAATAAGTTGAGGTGTCTTGGTCTGTCTTCATAAGATAGGCCAGATAGGCCTTTTACCATTTTAGTCCATCGGCGTTAGACCCGTTCCAGCATATCCGCCTCATATTTGAAGCAAGGATTCGCTTCTTGAATCCCATATTCCAAATGTGGTAGCACGAAAGTGGGATATAATAACCTAAGCAATTCCTCGTCCAAATACTGAAAATGTCTACGAATAGACCATAATACCCTACAGCCTTTCGCAGCAGCCTTACAGTGGCTGGTTGTTTTGTGATCATTGCTTAGTACCACTCCTAAATCTTTATAGTTTCTTACTTTGGGTAACCCAAATCCACATATTGTGTAGTAATACGAATCATCGTAGTTATTTAGTTACATCACTGCACTTTTGTTAGGACTTACTTCTAGTGATCACCCGTTCATTCATGCCACTAGTGAGTTGAGATCTTCCTGTATACCATTCTGTCTGACATTCTGTATATGGGTCTCCAAACCTTTATGTCATCGGCGAAGAGTAGGACGGATGATTTAGCTAAACTTGGTAATTCATTCACATAAAGTAAAAAGAGAAGAGGACCTAGGATTGTGCCTTGGGGAACACCACTTTTCACAGATTCTCACAATGACAGGGCTCCCTTTATCCTTACTCTGTGTCTCCTGTCATGGCGAAAGTCACTTATCCAGTCTATAACCGTATAATGAATTCGAGAACTTTCCAGTTTTAATTTAAGATCAGAAAGGGAGACCTTATCAAAGGCTTTACTTAGATCTATGAAAATTACATCTACAGGAATATTTCGACCTTCAGCGATTAAATCTGATAGGGCTTTCATAATCCTAGGATGATTATAATCAGGACCACTGGAGTTATCAGGTTTGAGATGCTGAAGTAGTCTTAAGACAGTATCTTTCTCGATAACTAAAGGGTTAATCAACAAGCCGCCACAATCACAATGAATAGTTGGTCGTTCCTCATCACTGATAGAAAATACTTTGCTGAAATATTCTGATAATGCTTCAGCTTTTTCGGTATCATATCTTGCCAATATTAACGGATTTTCTTGTACCAAAAGTGATGGGATTCCATTACTTCTCTGAGCTCGCTTTTTTATTTATAAGAATAACCGTTTCGGACATTATTTTTAATCCCTAACCAATTGTTTTTCACATGACGATAACTGGATCTGCACTGTTCTAAGCCAGTAGAGATGAACATATTCCAATGCTTTTTCATACGTCTAAGAAGTTTCTTGAGTTGTTTGATTATCCATGGTTAACTATTAGTCGGTCTACGTGGTACCAAGTATGGTATGAACGGGGACGTGACTGCACTGAACTTGCCTTTAAATACAGACCACGCCTAGTCAACTGATGAGCTAGTATCTACTGACCAATCTGTCTTGGCTGTGCACTCCTGAATGGATGATATGTTAGCTCTCCATATATTTGGGCGAGGCCTAACCTGATCGTATATCATGCACGTGAATGATACAACAGCATGATCGCTATTCACTAACGGTGGAAGAATATTTAGACTGGCAATATCCTCAGTGATTACCAAGTTAAACAGAGAAGAAGCTTGATTTACATCAAAACGTGTGGGTTTGTGTACATGCTATACTAATGCATGCTCCATTACTTTTTCCAGGAACCTACTATCAAAGGAGTTTATAGATCCTTTCTTGGTCATCTCCGTTCAACTAATGTCAGGTGCATTAAAGTCTCCCAATATCAAGCATCTGTTATTTGCATTCCATAGCTGAATGTGCGCCAAAATAAAGTCATCAGCTAAACAGATTGGGCTGTTGTAGATTAAACCGAGTACAAAGGTACAACATCTGATAGTGAGCTCTCGGCTAATGAGTTCACAAGTTCCACTATCAAGGGATTCACAAACAGAGGAGCGATATCTTTATTGTTGGCTGTGTATAGAAGAACGCCACCTGCATCTATGACCATCACTTCTAAACAGTGGGATCCGTGTTTGTTCTGGGGTAATATCGAAGTCGTTGACTAACCGAGTTTCCGCAACAGATACAACGAGTGGCCTTAATTTGTCCATTAACACTCCTAGTTCGTAGAATTTATGCCTTAGACTACTAGTGTTGGGATACAAAACTCCTCAGGAGAACGACCTATCTACACAGGCCTTGGTAGCATTCGCTTCCAAGACCTGACTATTCGAAAACCCACTAATCGGAGGTTATCCTCACCGTTTAGTCGATGGATTTCTAGTTCAGCTAGTGTCGTCTTCCTTTTTATTCTATCTTCAAGAAACATATCCGGTCTTACTCGAATGTCAGAATTGCAGTGACTACGAGCGCTACTTAACAGAAGATCACGTTGTGTTTCCGACCCTAGGATTACCTTAAGTAGTCTATGTGGTAGGGGTTGAACACTATCGTCGGCCCTTTTACCTATTCTAACCAATTTTCTGACCTGAACACCTTTAAAGTTATCTAGTAAGGTGCCACGAATATATTCTCCGAGCTTCTCCAAATCATGAGGGTGTCTAATTTTGAGACTGATATTGTTTGACTCCAGCACATTACTTATAATAATATTCGACGAGATTAAATTCTCCTCAGTCACGCCAGGGTGGAGTTCTGCCTTAATATCAGAGTTTGGTATTGTATTGCGTGACTCAATGCGAGTTTACAAATAACATGCCAACCAAGTGCGTATTACTTTAAGCTTTTTTCATTTCTTTTTCTCCGTGCTTCCGTCCATTTTTCGTCACTCAGGACAGACACACCGGGAATATTTGGGTTTTATCCGGGTCTTCGATTTCCACTAAAAATGAATGGCTACTCATGTCAATATCAAGTGGTGCTTCACTAAGCTTTTTCTAACTATTGTCTAGATTATATTCAGACACTTCGGGTGAGAAATAATAAATTCTTTTTCGAATGTTCGAAATATGTATTGAATTTTGAGACCAAACTAATTGTCCATCGCAACTCAGTTTGATGCAGATTCGAAATTCTGGGTAATGTCAAAGGAAGCTAAGCGTGCATTGAAGTCAGTAGCAGATTACTTATTCCTAAGTAAAAATGCACATGGAAGCATCTATTCCAAAAATAGACACAAAGGTTATTTTCATCTTTGCAACATAATTCCTAATGAATATATATACAGAGTTCGAATATGTTACAAATTTACCTTTACAGATGTCGTTTTACTTCAACTCTCTATACTCCCCATTTTGGTTCATCGGAACGCTAATGACGCTCATAATGGAGGTAGATTTTTCAAAATATATTTATTCATAGCTTGGTAACATTATAGTTCCAATATTTAGACCCCGTTTATAAAGTAATTAATACTGCTGTATTCGTCTTATACTCTGTTTTGGAAGGCCTCAGATTGTATCTTGGATATGCTGGAAATTTGATGGAGTTGGTATTTCCATATTATTATTATAACGTTTTCTTTAGGTCCCTGAACTAGCTGGATCATGGTTACTGACTATTTTGATACAACTTCCAGCTATTTCTTTCATGTTATTCAACTCCGATATGATTTTATCATCATTTGAGAGAACTATCCATATAATTGAGTTTATAATGGTAGTCTTTGAGTCTTTGGTTGGATTTTTTGTCCTAAAACTTATGGTACAAATGCAAGCCCTAAAGTTCCATTCACATTTACGCTCTCGTCAGATTGAAAATTTTGAGAACAAGTCTTTCGAATATCAGATGTAATTGTGGAAAATAAATTTCGTCTTTTTACTTGTTTAGTTTAGACTCATTTATCATAAACATAGTCTTAGTATCTAGGCCTTTCAAACAAACCTTGCGCTGGTAACATTGAAGCGCACTTTTGGCCAGTTTGACGGTAGAACTTTCCACATAATCTTCAACAGTTTTATTCGTTCCCACTTAAAGTACGGAAACATAGTATTTCCTCCCTCCCTCCAAGCAGATAAGGACACTCTCGAACGTATCCAACGTCAAGCCACGGAATCAGTTCGGGGACTCAAATTCAAACCTTATGAAGAGCGCCTCCAATCACTTAACCTTTCCCCGTTAGAGCATAGGCGTCTTAGAGGTGACCTTCTTATGACTTACACTATCCTTAATACTTCTGATCATTCCCCTAAACATCTATTTAAGCTTAGTCACAATACTAACCTAAGGGGTAACACGCAGAAACTGGAGACCCAACATAGCAGGACGGACTGTAAACACAACTTCTACTCCTTAAAAGTTATCAAATCTTGGAGTTCGCCGCTGATTGAGCTTGTCCAAGTGACTTCCCAGGATTCCTTTAAGAGGAAACTCGATCTGTTCTTAAGGAATAAGGATAACATATTATCATGATTAACCAATTTCTTTTTTTCCTATTATCATTAATATACTTAGGCTCCTGCCTGGAGGTATTGGTGATCCACTGCTACTATACACGGAAGCCCGTTAAGCGAAAGCTTTATCTATTCCGTCCACAACCATTTAAACCATTTAAGCCCTAGATTAGTAGGGATTACTTCATGGTCACTCATTTACAGTTATTTTACTCCAAGCAATTAAATGAAGTATGGCGATACAAGCATTCACTGAAAACCTCGTTTTTTATCGCCAGTAACAGCACTAGATGTAGCGCATGAGATTGAAATTTTTAGATCTTAGTAGTTATTAACAAACCAGTGCTTCAAGGAGAGCGCACGTGAATGTAGTGTGTTAAAACTAAAATACAATGCACAATAGTAATGCACAGAGCAATTGTCATTTCACACAGACACCAAATAGTAATAGTCTGTATGGGTAGTTAAATTAGGTCAACCACCGTTTACTGGTTCTTAAAATATTTATACGAAGTATCACTTTCTCCTTAAGTTGTTCATTCCCAGAAGCCCATTTTACTTTCTAGTGTAAATCTTAGTTGTTGACCAGCAGACGATAAAATATTTCTTCATATTGATTCTTTAAACTGAATATTTCGAAAATTTTCAGATTTTCGTCAGGGATTTTTATTACCAGAAGAAAATCCATCTAACATATATATCGTAGTTTAGAACGAAAAATATTCGTAAGCCATCTTTTCGTTGATCACATGCTACGGAAAAAGTTTAGTTGCTTCTTATAGATGTTTTCAGAAAGTTCAGCTACTGGATTATCATCTAATTACTCGGAAACGTTAAAGTAGTGTCCATTTTCATATGTTGGTTGGCTGTTTAGATCCGATGCCCCAAATATGGTCCCACACAAGAGACTATCATTGAAGCATTTCAAGGCGTTTTTAGATGACGGTAGTATTAGTATGGGCTATCATTAATAGTGCTTTAGTGTGGTTTCACGCCAAATCACAACTTATGTCAACTGAACAGTAATTTCATACAGTTCGTGCGATGGATGGAATAGTAACTGCAACGAATTGCACAACGCCCTACTTTTATTGAAATCAAATTTGCCATATTACTGATTAAATTACTGAAGCTGGCTTGTAGCTCAACTCTATTTCTTTTGCGAACACTATCACTTCAGCGATGAAGACAGTAGGTAGGTTGGCGTGTGCTAACTCCTGTAACAAATATCTCTGTTAATATTATGTTCCTCCATGGAAATGTTAATACTAATTATTTGGATAGGACGTTAAACCTGACGAGCACTCGAAGACAGGAGGAATTCCACCCTGATTTCATTCGAGCGTGACTAATGAACCGCTTTTTAATGGATTCGGGAATGGTTAATCGTAGATGAAACAAAAAGTTGGGTCTTCTTAGTGCACAAACCGTTATTAAAGATGAGGAATGGTAAACTCACCTCGTAATCTATCTTAAAAATGAAAATAAGAATTTCAATGACTTATCATAGCAGAGGTTTGAAATTCCTGCTATATAAAACAGAATACTAACTTTTCGAATACACTCTTGTGTCTTTGCATCGCTCTGAATCAAAAGAATTGATCTAAATAACTTTTATGACTTATGGGGGATCCTAAAGCGATAGGTTCATGTAATGTCATTTTAAACAAAACTATTTGTCTTAAAATTGAGTGTTTCTCTTTTCTCTTAGATTATGGTAAATGCAAGCCAGATAAAATTATGTCATAAAGAATATTTTTTTGTTCATATACACGAACAGGTGTTTAGCAGCAGAGTTTATGCTTCTGGCATGTTTATCAATGAATGCTGGTAATGATATTAGGGAGATTATTATTTTGAACAAATGAAATAAAATGGTAATACCCTACGTTACCTGAAAACGTTTAACCTTTAAAGTATCATTTTCAGTGCAGTATAAATAGACAGAGCAGTTTCGCTACATCCTTTGTATTGATACATTTAATACTAAAGAGTGAGTTGGTATGTTTATTAAGGGTTTTGTAAAATCTTTTAACGTAAGAGTAGAAAGGAATGAGAACCTTCTATCAGTTGCTGAGATGTAATACAAGAAGACGGTTCGCTTTTACGTTTTCTAATTCAATAACATTTGCAAGACTGGAATAGTGTTTTAGCACTTAGTTTCACACCATATAACTCTTCGTGATGATATTTATTACTTTATAATGTTTTTATTTTCCCGTTGTTTCTGTTAACTACTATGGTTAATCAATCTCTTTTAACATATGTGCATCTTGATCTCACTGTCATTCTGTTGACTAGCAGTAGAATCCACAACGCTCTTTTGTTATCTGGGACTTGGCGAATGGTTATACTTGGTTACTTGTATTGATACTCGTACTAGCACTCGAATATAGCAGCTTCCACTTCTTACGGCCAATGGGTTATCCATTGATCAACTGGGTTTAGATAGTCACTAGCCTATACGACAAGTATAAATGTTTGTTCCATTATTTAAAACACTAGGATACAAGAACATCCATCTGCAGAGTTTCGATTTGGGCAAAATGCACTTTCTTAATTCTATTGCTACCCTTTGTACAAATTTACCTTATAATGATATACTTATGTAAGTTACTTGATTTCTGATAGTGTCTTAAATACTTCATTTTCGACGATTGATAAAAGATAATATGAGCTTTAGTATCCATTAAAATTCTTTAGAGCTGAATTCTCATCTATGAACAGCAGTGTAGCAAATTAAAACGGAAATCAACTTTTTTACTTAGAGTACCATCATACCTTCGGATTCGAGATTTAAAAGGTAATAAATCTCTTCGAAGAAATAGAGATTATCAAAATAATAATTATCAAAGGCTTTATGATCTTTAGTCAATGTAACTGATGCGTACTAAGCGTTAGAAACTGAAAGTGCAAAATCATAAACCGATATCCACAAGTTAATTTTAAAGATCTTTAAAGCATAAATATTTCTTCTTCTGAAGCGAATTATTAGAAAAAATGGCATATGCTGACCAGTTTAGATTAGATTTATCAGTGTTAGTTCTTTATCCGGTTGTTTCTGGAACATTTTACGCAATGTAAACAGGAACTTTGGTTTTTCCTTATTTTTTTGTACCTACTCAACATTATCACGGAAAAGGCTATTAGTTTACCAACTTTTAGAGCTTTAGTTATCAATTTGGTGAAGTTCTGTTACTTACTGTCTTACACTTTACAGCCAATCACTGTAAAAAAACAGGAGTATTTTTCATCTGGTTGGATACCGATTAAAAGTTTATGACATATTGTATCTGGTTCTAGGTCTATTTAAGTGTCTAATTTTGGTCTGAAATCCACCTACATAGTTGAGGTTTCTGTCTAGTGATTATTTAATGTAGTGTTGATATTACGTAATAATTTGTGATTTTATGGCTTGTTGATTGATAGAATAAACCTAATAAATGACCATGCTTGATACTTTGTTGCTTGTGGAACGCTTAGTGGCTTGGTAGCGACATAAGGAAATTATACATTCGTAATATATGCACATACATATGCATTTGACAACAAAAATGTATTGTTTTATTGGCAAACATTTTTTAAACTAGGTCAGCTTGTTTTTTTGATAGTTTTGTCATTTGTGCCCTGGGTACTACGTTGGTTGTCATGCTATGATTTAGCTTTTCATACTCAGGGAAATGTAAGATAAACACACCATACTATTATTATTATTAGCTTTATTCAATATTATATTATTTGGTACAAAATCGAATTCTCAGCATAAAGTATTTCAACATGTTTACGTTTCTTATTTCTTCATTGCTCCCGATGATAAACATTCAGTGATCGCCAGTTGGATGTCAGCAGTTCAGTTAATCGACATATGAATAATGTATATTCTTTTTGCTGCATGTTCCCAGCAAACACGATATCTCTGATTAGGCCTTTTGTAACATTTACAGCGAAAGGTTTCACAGTTTTCAGAAACGCACCTGAATAGGTTGTGTGCTTGTTGAAATATATAGATGACAGGAACAGATAGCCCAGATGTTAAAGCAGGCCACCCATACTATTAACAGCTCATTTGAAGGATAGAGAGTCATGATTGGACACTTGTGATAGTCATTAAGGATAGCATTGTCATCAAAATGACTCATATTTGCTA